ACCAGACTTGTATCATGCTACAAATGATGCTATCAAGAAAAGCCCCAAAATATGATATGCTGTCAAGTCCAAGCTTGCTGCTACAGGTCCAAAACTATGTTAAAAAACAGTCTGCTTTCCTGCTACAAAACAACCCTGCACCAAGCTACCACTTCACTCCAAAACTGCTACAAAACAGTCTTGGTATGCTGCCTCCAGCCCTATCCAAACTTACACTATATCAGTCCCATATTTGCACCAAATTAGCACATAAGAGCTGCATCTAAAAGGCAATGGAACATTATACCCAAACAATTCAAAAAAAATTTTGTTTCCCTCCCAAATCTCAGCAAGTTTCATCTACAAATAAACTATTTTCACAACACACAAAGGGTGGCTTTTAGAGAGAAAAAAAGGGAGATAAAGAGAATTCAATGTAACCTTTGCTCATTAAAAAAAAACAGCTCTACTTTCATTCAAACAAAACCTCAACCCATTATTCCATTTTGCAACCTCTCCAATAAACCAGCCATCCAAATACTTCATATCACACATAGATTGTTCAAACACAATAACATTTTATGTAGTGTCATTATCATCACCTTTAAAATATAAACCAAAGACAGTATTGCTCAACTTGATTAGGTTGGAGTTATTTCAACAACTTTCAATACAAAGGAAGGTTCAACAGCTTTTTTGGAGGTTCACTGAAGCCCTCACAACATCTTGAAAAGTATTCAGACTCAAAACACAAAGTGCAGTCTCAAGGTAAGTCTTCTTGACTTTGCATTTTTTCATACATCACTAATGATTCATTTTTGAAGATAAAATATAGTAATCATTGTCCTTGAAGTTAATCACATACTCGTTGTTCATTTTTATCAATTATATGTTGAGAACTGACTTGTACAGACAATAAAACAATGTTAGAGCTAAAAAATTGCAGCATGAGTCGACACATACTCACATGAGTCGACCCATTTTAGTGACAGAACAGGGTATGAGTCGACACAAAGCCTTAGGCGTCGATACATACTGCTATCCAGACCCAAAACAGAAGGACAAAATGTGCATGAGTCGACAGAAAACACGAATGTGTCGACACAAACAAGAAATGAGTCGACACATACCATTATGTATCGACTCATATTGAGTTGATTTGGTTTTACAGGGGCAAGAAAAGTTATGTGTCGATGCATAGATGCATGTGTCGAAACATAATGGTTAAAAAATATTTTTTCCTTTCTTTTAAACTATTTTTATATTTTCTATATATTTTCTTCATTGCTATTCAATATGGTTGTAATAATTAAGCTTATTTCATCCCTATTTGTAAATTATACCCCATCCCCAAGTGACGTAATAGTTTAAGATTTTAATTTCCGCAAATTTATCATTTTTATATAATTGTTAGTAATTAGGGTGTGTAAGGCAAGATAAAATCGACCATTAGAAAACCTTAATCTCAAAGACAAAAATGCATGCAATCAAAACACAATTCACACAAGCACCTCTAGGGTAACCTCCCTTGTTGCCTCAGAAAATAGTCATGTCCCTCGAATATGGGACGATTTAGTAAAGACCCTAGATAAAATGACTGTAGTCCCTCGATGACTCTTTAATGTTGCCTTCGGTAAAACGATCTTAGTCCCTATGAAAATTGCTAAAGCGACTCATAAGTTTCCTTCTATGACTATACGATCGACCCATGCCCCGTCCCTTCACATCCAAAGATAGGGCTTCTTACCAATCAATGGTAAGGTAGAAATATCTAAAGGAGGAGGAAAAGAACAAAGACCTCTTGAGTAGGTAGGACGCTCGTAATTGCTTGCTCACAAACTAAAACCATCTCCATACTCACACTTTTAAAACATCTTTAAAAACAAACATCTCTTTGAACTATTTTCAAAACCAACACTTTTATACATTCTTATAGAGACGAGAATCATTATAAAGTTTGTTGAAACAAAGGCGTTTTCAAAATATTTTCAAACTTACACCAATCACAAACACATTTCAAACAAAGCATTTTCAAAGTGATCAAGCAACTAAGAGCCTGTAGATAACTACCGATGAAAAGAGTGATAACACCTTCCCTTTTCATAACCTACCCCCTGAACTCAAGAAAATATCTCAAAACGTCTTTCCTGTTTTTTTCACCCTTTCCTTTATTGGATAAAAGAAAATTCGGTGGCGACTCTTGCTATCCGCAACAATTGCGATAAAGCGCAAAATACCCAAGTTAGTTCTCCCACCATATTACAATTCCAAACGGGAGGAGGACCACCTAACATACAAATACATGGACACTCTTGTCATATAATTGGGAGCATGATTCCTTTGTCTGGACAATCACCAAAATTTGCTCAACTATATATTTACGACATTGACAATGAGATTCAACATAGAATTGAAGGAATAAGGTAATGATTCAGATCTTACTTAACCTTATAACTATATTTCGGTTGCTTTTTTGGGAGTTTATATTATCATGTGTACGTATTTTGAAACATATGCATACTAACTGTTTTATTATATAATGAAATAATAATCCCAATATAATTCTATAAACTGTTAGCAGATTGAAACTTATGTTGGATGAGTTTAACACACACTCTAAATCTTTTAGAACAAAAACAAATAGATTGACGGATTATCCTGTACCTGATCTCAAACTGAATTTAATAGTTGATAGATCAAAAGATGGACGAATTTACAACCAATCGACTGTTTATGAGGTTTGGTGCACTTATCGTTTATGATGTTGAACATGTTCTAAAAGGGATATTATTCTTGAGAGACATAGCATGAGGCTGTAAAGAATAAGTGAGTTTCATCCCAACTATCTTGCATTACAATATCCACATTTATTTTCATATGGGGAAGATGGTTTTAGACTTGCTGTGCTACACAAGGAAACAAATGCAAAGAAAAAGTTTAAGAAAAATAAGCTTACCATTAGAGAATGACTTACTTTTAGGATTCAAACCAGACATACCGAAGTGCATACACTTTTGAGGTCAAAGAGGTTGTTTCAGGAATTTTTGGTTGATGAATTTACTATGATGGAGTCCCAAAGATTGAATTATATCTGCAAGCATCATAAAAAACTTAGAGTTTCTAAGTACTGCAACATTACCAAACGTTGCCTCCAAGCACAAGTGAGGTGCATTTACTGTATATATATGTAGTAATAACATTTCATTCTGCTATTGTCTATAAAAAACTTATGTTGCTGATGTATATACAAGTAAATTTCGTTTGATGTTGCTGTATAACTTTCATGGTAATGCAATATTATCAAACGAATTATCACTGAATTTAACAATTCAAATTTTCCGTTTAAATCTCTAATTTGTACGTTATTGTAAAGTACCTGATATATGAAGTGTTAATTTCTATATTTTTTATAGATATGCAGTTGACAACAATGAGTTAAAAAATTTGACACTCATAGAGATTGAGAATATGATGCAATACTATCAAAGAAGTTATCATAATTTAAAGATATGCCTTATCCAAATTCATATGTCACACGACACGTTGGCAATAGACTGATTTATGACGAACATGATTACAATGTCGATATTGAGCGACAAAATTTTGACAATCTCTTTCGCGCCCTTACAGGTGATTATTTTTCTTTGTATTATGAGTTTGTGACCGAACATTTTTTTAATTGATAGATGAACAACGTTCAATCTTTGATAAAATTATGGAAGTTGTCAAAAAACAAAGAGGATGGGTGTTTTTTTACATGGTTATGAAGGGACCGGTAAAACATTCATGTGGAAAACACTAACAAGTGTACTTCGTTCGCAGAAAAAAATTGTTCTTACTGTTGCTTCAAGTGGCATATCTTTGTTATTATTGTCAGGTGAAAGAACCGCCCATTTAAAATTCAAAATACCCGTGCCAACACTTGATAACTCTACTTGCAATATTGACAAAAACACTGAACATTCACAGTTATTTTTAGCAACCAATGTGATAATATGAGATGAATCACCTATGTCTCATAAGAATCGCTTTGAGGCATTGGATAAAATCCTTAAAGTTGTCATGAGCAAAAAGGATTTTGCGAATACAAACTTTGGTGGGAAAGTTGTTGTTTTTGGAGGAGATTTCAGACAAATTCTTCCCGTTGTTCCAAAAGTTGGGTGTTTTGATATTGTTCATGCATCAATATGCTCATCTTATGTGTGAGACTATTGTTAGATTTTAACACTAACAAAAAATATGAGACTTCAGCAGGGAAGAGATAATACAAGTTCTAATGAACTAGCAGAATTCTCAAAATAGATCTTAAATGTTGGAGATGATAAGATATATGAACTAAATGATGGATTGGTAAAAGCTATTGTTGAAAGCACATATCCCAATATGTTGGAAAATTTCCAAGATGTTACATATTTACAAGGAAAAGTAATTATTGCTTCAACCATTGAAGTTGTGGACAAAATCAATCATTATGTATTGGACCTGATATCAGGTAAAAAATCGTTAACTTTAGCCTATATACATACAACAAAAAGTTGTATCATGTTGAATTTACTAATGTATTAATATTTTCATTTTATTACATTTTTTAAGAGAAGAGAAAGAATATATGAGTTTCAATTCAATTGATAGAATTGATACAAGTTATACTTAATCGTATGAAATTCCATCTTTAAATTTTTTTAATAAAATAAGAACATCAAGACTATCAAATCATATGATCAAATTGAAGGTTAATACTTCCATCATACTAATAGATTATGCAATAGAATAAAATTAATTGTTATAAAAATTAACCAATCATATCCTTGAGGCAAAATTTATATCAAGAAAGAAAGAAAAGTATATAGCAAACTATATCATAAAGAAATGTGTAATTAAAAAAAAAAACGTTTTTACTTTTTTTTTGGGTCAGTCAAAGAAAAACGATAATTTCGTGGTAATTAGTAAAAGGACTCCGAAATGTTTTTTCAAAGCATTCCCAACCCGGCTCATGAAGTTCGGGTTTTAGGGTTTTGGATATGCTATATATACTAACACAAGCACCATTACCTTCCTCATCATTCATAGGGTTTGGCAATGGCAGATCTAGATCTAGAAATTCATCTCATCCCCAAACTTTCACACAAACGTTAATTTTTTCGTTAAATCTCATCTCAGCACAGCGCCTCCCGGCCTTCTCTGGTAAATTTCATGACGCGAAAGCCCCGATCCACGTCCTAGATTGCCGCCGTTTGTGTTGCAAATTTCCCTAATTTTCACGGCCGATCTGGGTCCAAGTAATGGTTCAATATCGATTCGATTTGTTTTCTTTTTTGTCGAATTTGCCTCACTACACCTTTAGCTTGTTTTCGTATATTCTCCATGAAAATCAAAGCTAGTCATAGAGGCACAAATTGAATTGTAGGCGGTTTTCACGTGGTGCTTCAACTTTTCAATGTTTATGCCTCTAAAAAAATTCGCCACAGTTTTTATTCGTCTTTCTGTTTTTTGATTAAATTTGGCTATGATTACATATTATCCGCGCTTCTGAGTTTTCACCATGAAGTAAACGGAATTAATGGTTGAATTTCTTAATATGAGCCTAATTTGAATATGAATTTAAATTTTTTATATCAAGTTAAGTTTTGATTTTTGTAATATTTGGCTGTGATGACAATTTAATCAGCTTTATGCCAGTTCTGCTTCTGAAAAATCGTGATTGATAGAGCTGTAACAAATTCTGAGCTTTGTATATTATCTTAAAATTAGTTTATTGTTATTGTTGATGTGTGATTGTATGATATATATATTGCGTATGCTTTTGTTAATACTGGCCTATGATTATATTATATCCGAACTGAAAGAGGTGTTTTGGATCCAAGCCCCTGTTTACAGGGAGAACCTACTTGGTGAAGGGACATTCATGTGACAATGGATTTCTATGAGGCTTTAATAGTTTGTTTATTTAGTTGTATTTTCAACCGATGATGTTTTTAAACAATCCAACTTGTCTGAGGTTGTGGTTAACCCAAGATCCTGTTCGCAGGATGAACCTACTTGGTGTTGTCACATTTCCAATGACATAAAGAGATTAAACTGAGGATTGTTATTGTTAATTGATTTTGCTTTTTTATTTTTTTTAAGTTGATTGAGTTTTTAACTATACTCTGTTCCATTATGAATAAATTGGCTGAGAGTCTGAATAAACTCATAGATTTGGTGTTGTCTATCAGCTTCATCTTTAGTAACTACGAGAATGGAGTTAAATAACAGCACAATATTTCTACATTTTTTGTTCAATTATTTCAGAAACTGGCTGAGTAGCGGTTGTTGCGATGATTATAAAAATTCCTCGTACTGAAAGCTATATGCTAGCATGACAGACACCTTACACCCATAGAATATGAGCAACATCCTGCCTTAGATCATTTGTCTTAAAATTAAATGAATACTTAGTATGTATTTAGAATTTAGGAAATTGAATAATGATGTTAGTTTATTACATTAAATATTTTAAAAAAATGTGATAGTTTATTTCATTTACTATTCTAAATTCCTAGTTATAATATCAAAATATTATTTTATTTTTATTATATAGTGGAACTTATAAATTGCATTTCGGTTGGATATAAATAATTAAATTTATTAAATATTTTATTTTTAATTATAAAATTTTAAGTAATAATTTATTTTTAAATTATTCAATGTGGATATCATGTAAATGTAATCCACATTGGATAATTTATATTTACATATTCACATTGGATAATTTAAAAAAAAGCAATTATTTTGAATTTTGTAATTGATACTAAAATATTTAATAGATTTAGTCATTTATATTCTTTCCAAATTACTATATTATTTATGGAAATTTGTTTCTAATTTCTAAAGTTTTTTACTTTTAATTATATATTTGTCCTTTGAATTGGTGATTTCTTAAACTACATAAATTTATGAATGTTACAATAAAAATTGAAAATATATTTCTGGTGTGTATCTCTAGAATTGTGTATCTCTAGAATTGAGAAAATATATATAGACACTGGAATTTTATTTTTGTTTTAATTTTAACAGAAATTAGAAAACGTTAATGAATTAAATCATAATTTTTTTAATTCATAACATATAGTAAATATATTTAGGAGTTGCAAACATAAACATTTATATAAATCACCCTATATAAACCAACCTCTATTTTTTAATTCATTGTTGTTCTTTAGTTCATGATCCATGGATATAAGTTTATCATTTTTGTCATGAGATAGTGAATGGTACTTGATCTTCGCAACTTCTGATTGTTGTATGGATCCTTATAATATTTTATGCACATTTTTAATAGGGGTATAAATAGTTAACTTAATAGGGGTTTATGCATATTTGTGCATTACTTTATACATAACTTAATAGGGGTTTATGCATATTTTATGCATAACTTAATAGGGGTGCCTACAATTTAATGGAATAAGGACAAGTCTAATAAATATCTCTTATTGTTACCCTATTGTCACCTCATCGGTGCCTACAAAAATAATTGTTTTCATCTAGAAGTTTCAAGAGTTGTTGCATTTTAGTTCGATCCTTCCTTAGTGTTATTTTTGTTTGATAGCGTTTATTGTAAACTTGTTTGATATTTGATGTGTTCTCGGGTTTTTTGTGCTTCAAAGTTGCAAGCATGTTTTTTGGCGGTACCAAATTCAAAGTTATATAAAAAACACATATTCTCATCTGGAAAGAGTTGACATGCAGTTGCATGACCGAAACCACACAACACATTAAATTTTAATTTCTTATTTGCCATAAGATAATTGCGCAACCTAAATAGACATTCACATTTTCTTGAAATGGTGTCGTCACGTTTCAAATTTTGGATACGATGTATGTATTTCTCACTTCTTTTGCATGTCTAAATCACAAATGTGTTTCTTCTATCCGAACCATTATCGGACCTTCCAATCACAATACTAAACCCTAATTTCGTAGCCTCTATACGAATTCATTGCAACATGTCTTTACGTAATTCAAATTCTTCTATATTTTCAAATTGCTCGCGAACATCTGCCACCTTAATTACGAGATGAGAAAATACGAGAGGCGAAATAACTTGAGACACATCATGTTTGAGAATGTTATCGGGGTGCACCATACCTAATGTTAGATAACACACATAACTTATTAACATGTCACATTGACATATTGCTGTCAAAATAAACACATACAGAAATTGGAAGTTAACTTCTGGTTCTGTTAAACTAAAAATCAGAAGTATACATTCGGTTTGTACATGACATTTTTCTATAGAAAAGAACAGATTAATGTGGGAAATGAGGGTTGAAATGAATAAATGTTGCCTTGAATTTTACTTCCTTGAGCTCTTTCTGATATGATGAACAAAAAAAATGATTATTTGGAGTGGAAAATGGATTGAGAATGATGAGGGTTTTTTAAAGGTTTTAAGGAAAGAAAGAAGAAATGGTGGTAATGAAACATGATCATAGTGGTTACTGTTTTAAGTAACCTACATCATCCATAGAACCAGAATTATACTTTCGATTATATATAAAATGTCAAGGTGGCAATAAAATTCAATCTTTCTGCTACTAAAATTGATAATAGAATTTCGATTTAGAAACATTATCTCTGATACCGTTTTTTACATTTTGAAGGGTGAAATCACATTTAACCTGTTTTACGCAAAATATGATGCGAACCAAAAATATATTTTTGATTTTTTGAGAAGTAATTTCAGAATTACATAAAATATCCCTTTTCCATTTAGATTGAGATAAGAAATTCTCTTAAAAATATCTTCTTTTCAATTTTGTCAAGACATATAGACAAATTCTTTAAATTTAATTTTTAGTATTTAAAGATTCTCGTTTTACTTTATTCTGATACTTAGAATCTGTCATGTGGTAATACAAAAGGTCAAAATCTAAAAATTAATCCCAGTAAGATTTGAAATCTAATCCTTAAGGAAGCTGGTGTTGCATTGCCACTATGACATTTTTTTCTTTCAATTTTCAATTGCAATAAAAAATATATAATACATTTATTATTTTACTGTATACTATTATAATGCATATTTTCTAAGGATATTATTATAAGCTATTATAATGTATTTAATATATATCATTCATCTTTTCTACTGATACTATTATATAATTATTTAATTAATTAAATAAAAAATAATAACATTTAGTTAATTTTAAAATAATATTAAAATATATAATTTTTAAAATTATTTATTTTAAGAATGAATGTATAATTTATTTTAAAAATACATATTTGAAATTATACATTCATTTTTATAAAATGTATATTTTAAAATATATATTTTTAGTATTATATAATAATATTAAGAGAATTACTTGAAAATAATTAATACATCTAATCTCAATAAGTTTCACTACTCCTTAACATGGAAGCAATATAGGATGGAGATGAAATGAGGATAAATTTGTTTTCAATAATTATTCTCTAGCTTTCTCTCTAGGATCTCTTTATATAGTATTATACTTCAAAAAATTTCCTTTTAATTTTTCAAAGATTTTCTTATAAGATCTCCATTGATTCAAGACTGCACCACGATTGATCAAACTCAAGATACCTTCCCAAACACTGATGATTCAAAATTAGGGTTTGAGTTTGTATAAGGACAATTAAACCTTTAATGCTTCATATGATTTTTATGAATCATTTTGGACTTCAAAGATTGCTCATGTCAAGTTTCAAACTTTGGATCACATTTTTGCTCAGTCAATTGATCAATTGACCTAAAATCAACTATATTAGACAAAAAGTCAACCGTGGTTAATTCACAGTTAAACTTCATAATTTTTAATTCATATCAACATGTTGAACTCATGTATGTCAATTGGTCAAGTTTGGATCACAATTCCTAAAGAAATTTGATCAAATCACAAAAGGGCAAATTGATCAAAATTAGGGTTTTGACTGAGAAGACTTGATTTTTGACTTTCGACTCAAATACATGACTTGTTGGTTTGAGACATGATATCAAGAATCCAAATGCATCATTTTGACTTAATGGCATGGTTCAAAATATTTCTCAGGATCAATTGATTGATGAAAAAGTTAATTGTACACTAAAAAGTCAAACTTTGACTTTTGGATAAAAATCAAGTTTCAAAAATCATATTTCATCAAGACATGTCAATGTATGAAGATTGTTCATCAAGAAATCAAATTTCAAGATTACTTTGAAAAAAGTCAAAGTTCTAAACACTTAGAAATTTTTCTAAGTGTTAAGAAAAATATGATAATTTTATAACTTTGTGCTAAATTTTCACCATGATGCAAGATGATTCAGGAAAAACTTCCAACATGGAAGTTGTAGATCTCAATGGGATCTAAAATATTATAGGGCAGAACTTTTTCTAGAAATGCTTAGTTATAAATCCATGAAGACATGTCCATGAAACTAAAACACTTAGTAAAATTCTGAGCATTTTAAGTCAGAATTTTGACAGAATTTCTGGACCAAGTTTCACACAGTTACAATGGGAGTTTGCACAAGTGAATCAAATAGGGATTGTAGAGCATTTTACAAGCTTTCTAAAAAGTCCAAGAACTCTTTCAAATCATCCTTGAGCATGGAGAATCGAAGATCAGAAGTTGAACATTCATTCTTAAATTATAAGTCATTTTCATGATGAGCATCTAATCTCATTCCAAGCAATGCTGCATAATCCCACTTCTCAGGCCCTCTAACTCGTGTACCCATCCTTAATCAGAAGATTACACAAGCTTTTGAGCTATGAACCACTTGATTTAAGCTTTGTCTAGTACCCCTTTCCATTTAAGGAAGAAAGTTCACACTTCCATTTTGGAAAAGTGACTTTAATCACAAAGTCCACTCTTCTTGAGCTTTGTGTTTGTTCTTTCTGCACAAGCATTCCCTACAAACTCAGAGCAGACATGTTTAAAGTTGCTAGCCACCCTACCTTGCCTTGAAACCATGTTTGTCTAAGCTTGCTTCAAAAACAAGTCAAAAATCCACAACGTGATTTTATACTTATGACTTCTCCAAGCTTCCCAAACCATTTGCCTATAAATTAAACCTTCATTTGCAAACTAAAAAATGATTGGATAAGCCCTGAAACTCACTAAAACTACCTAGAACCAGAAATTGCAACACAAGCACAAAAACTTGTCATTTATGATTTTTGAATCCAATCTCTAAATCCCCTCGTGCGTTTCTTGGCCAAACCATCCACAA